TGCCGCCCCCCCCCCCTCCCCCGAAAACTCTCCAAAATCATCTCCCCGGCGAGGTGCGGTGCCACAGAGCACAGAGGTGCCTTGTTACGGGGCACAGGGGGCAAGGGGGAGAAAAAGAAGCAAATTCCAACTCAGTAATGATGCGGCTGGATTAATAATTCAGATTTACTTTGGAAAAGAAACATCCGCTAGGAAACATTTGGATCAGATTACAAGGGCCTATTGAATAAACCTTATAAACACACAGCTGTAAGTATTAAATTCGAGTAGGGGTTTTTGGGGGGATTTTTTTTTTTTTTCCTTTAAGAGCAAAACCAGGCAGCAATCACTTTGATAGTTCAAAAGAAACACACCAGGGGCGAGATCCCGCCCTCACTTTACTCCCGCATCCGATCCAGAGCCGTTAAATCCACGCGAGCCCAGGGAGTGACCCCGAGGCAGAGGCACCGAAGGAAACTCGCCGTTGTCAACAGAAGCGAAAGCACCTCAAAATATGGTCAAGCTCGGGTTAAGCACAGGATGCTGGAAAAAATACAGAGCAGCACGCCTGTCACCCACACACAGCAGGCTTGGGAGGGCGGTTTTCCTCCCATAAATTTAGGGCCGGGCACGTCCTGCTTCTAAATGCATTTGTGAACTTCCAAACGCAAGGAAATCCCGATCGCTACCGGGGCTGGGAATTTCTCTCCTCCCATCACTGACCTTCATGGTGGAAACTCCTCACGGTGTTTGCCCGGCTGGTCGATCGCTCAGGGTACTGCAGGCTAATTTCTTGGAGGCTTTCCTCCTCTTCTCCAGACTGGAGTCGATAGAGATCCAGCATGTAACTAGGAATGACGGCTGACTTGCTGGGCTGAGGCCGCCTTCGCAGCCCAAACATCTGCAGCAGAGTTGTTTCGAAACCCCGCAAGAGTTCATGGCTTTGGGCAGAGCGGCGTCCGGATCCGGCTTGTCCCTGAAGTTCCGTGACTTTCTTCCTGCCGGTCTCGGGTATCAGGCTAGCATGGTTAGTACCTCCTAGCAGGACTTGGCATAGTAGGATGACCATCAGCATTCGGTTACCAGGAATCATGGTGTCTCTGGGGTGTAAAAGACGCAACAACAAACAACAAGGAAAGTCAGGATGAGAAGCAATCCCCCCCCCCTCCTCCTCCTCCTCCTCTTCTTCTTCCGAATAAACTTAAAAATAATAATGATAAATGGCAAAGCG